ATCACTAATGAGTTTATCTTATGTCTCGACCGTTCATGTTCATACTCAATGATTGTTCTTTTTCCTTTCTCTGTATAAGATATTCTCTCTCCTTCTCTCATTCCACGATCGATATATAAAGAGTGGACGTGAGAGAAGAGACGGACCATTCTTTTGGATAATAAACTCAAGAATCGTTACAGCGTCTGAACGCGTCAGTTTGTTCTTAGAACGCATTTTTAGTCGATAGGATACGTTCAATTTTTTCGAAAACGTGTTCTTTCACGTTGACTATAAGGAATATTTTTCCATGGGATGAATGAATCAATAACAAAGAAACAAATTATTCACTTTCATCACATCAAACTTACCCCCTGAATTGAGATCAGAGTTGAAATAACAAGCGAACCATGTGAAATTTGGACTCGTGATCGGCGAATTTTTCTCAGCCACGAAAGCTCGAAGAGAAAAACCGATAACGGATTCGGACTCAGGGACCCCGATAAGCTATAGGAAGTTTGAGATATATAACAAAACTGTGAAAAGTGTATTGCAAAAACTAAGAAACCTTGAGATAGTCGACGAAACGAGCGCTGGTTTGATCAGTATTTTACAAAACCTTAAAGCACACTAGAAAGGGTGAAAAAGTTGCGTAGAAATAATAGGAAAATTTTGAATCGTGAACAAACATATCAGTCGGTTTGTGGAGAAGATTCCAAACCTCGAGAGTGTCTACCAGAGATGTCCACACGGCCAACTTTATTGCCCTACCCTGCCCTGCTAATTAAGAAGATTTTTTTTCATGTTTAAATTCAAGTTTAAGTAATCTTTTTATCTGAAAAATAGTTCAGCAAATGGATAAATGATCAGCAAATAATAAATTAGCCCTAATTGAAAAAGTGTATATGATGATATTGCATCATCACTGATGATCCATCAGTAGATCGGCTTGCCCACGTAACTCACTACTTCGCTGATCAAGTTTTAAAAATGTTTTATTTCGATATCAACAGATCTCAGCGTATTTTCTGGTACAGTTTTTTTTACACTGATTGTAAATTTGGACTTTTTTCTTAAAAAAAATGGGTTTTGACATCGAAAATTAAGTTTTAAAGTTTTGATAAATTGTATTTTCGATTTTCTAACCAAGAAATTTAAAATGAAAATGCAGAGTAATATACCATTCGATGCAGAAATTGATTCTTTAGAAAGTGGTCTGTTTATTGTTTACTCACATTATTCAGGACAACTTCTAAGCTCTTGTACAGTTTCTACCTTACTATACAATTATTGAGCTCGTATTTCGATGTAGCAACTAGATTTTTTTACAGAAGGGTATACAGGGCAGTGATCAACATATAAACATTGAATATTTCTAAGCATGTTAAGTGCTTCAAATTTAGTCGACAAAATACATGTCACAGGGTTACGTTTTGACAAGGCGAGATATATTTAACGAAGAGAGAATAGAAACTTCATTTTCATCACCAGGAGAGATAGATGAAATATCAGCACATGAATCTATCGACGATGATAGCGATGCATAGTTTTATTGAAATAATAAAAACATCAGCAACTATTACAATTATATTTTAAATATATGAGCACTATTATCACTATTACGATTAGTTTATTATTTTCTTTTGTTTTCTTACAAATTTGATTGGACCTAATACGGTCATCATACAAACACAAATGTAACAATCTATTTACCATTTTATAGCGCCATATGGATAGTATGTGCAAAATTTGCAGGGCGTGAAGGTATAGCCCTGCTCTGCCCTGTACAGGGCAGGGTAGGGCACAGGGCAGGGCAGGATACAGGGCAGGGCAGGGCAGCCCTACCCTGTGGACACCTCTGGTGTCTACGAAACTTTCAGTGGCTTGGTACAAAATATACGAAACTTTGACATTGATAATAAATTGGGAATCGTTTAGCTCAAAAAGTACGAAACCCTCGAATGTTCTACGAAACCAACAATGGATTTCCAGAAAATATTCCAAACCTTTTTACAGTTTAGGTAACCAGCAATGGTTCCGTGGACACATTACGAAACCTTAAAGCCGACTACCAAGTGTCGAAAAGTTCCGCACAAATAATACGAAACCTTCGGTTCGTCCACGAAGCCAACAGTGGCTCCGTGGGTATATGAAGAAACCTTCTGTCATTTCCCAAAACTATCAGAGGATTTGTACATGACGTACGAAACCACAAACCACTTTACGGAACCTTCGAAGAGTCCAGGCGCAAAATTGCGAAACCTGATGAAATCTGCTGAACTTAAAATAGTTCTGAAAGGAGACCACGGAACGTTTTTCACTCTACGGAACTTGAAATCGTTCGGTGGAGAAATGCTGAACTATTAAGGTTTGGTATGTTAGCGTCAGTGATGAATCACTTGGACGCTAAACGATGATTTAGATGCGTTTTCTAGTATAACGGTAGTACATCTGCCCGGATAGCAGAAGATATGGATTCGATTGCCATGAAGGTCATCTTTTTCGTCGTTCTGTCACATAACATCAGTGACACCGCTTGTCTCTTTCGTTCTATACATATTAGAGCCTAACATGGTAGAGTACCGATTTTTTTAAAGTGTTCTTTGATGGGTCCGGAAAATATTTTTCGACCCGATGAAGGACTCTAGTGGCGACTAAGTTATTCCGACTCACACCACCAAGATGTTCGAATGAAAAAACGGAAGACTTCGAATTCATTTTTAATAGTATACAAGTTGGTTTAGAAAAAATTAAGAAAGGATTACTTAAAGCATCAGCATTAGTTCCCAATGCTGCCGATTCGATTAAAAATCTTCTCATGAATGTATTTAAAGATGAGTATAATCAAATCATGTGCTGGCCGTACATGAAAGGAAATGTTCAAAATCGTTTATGTCATATCGATGATAAAGCTGTTTCTGATGAAATTATGAATGATATTGAAATGCTTCAATTATCTAATTCAAGCACTGTATTTGAATTAGGATCAAAATGATTCATGAAGAAGTGGAAAATGAACAACAGACAAAAAAGCGATTAATCGTAGATTTTCTTAATTTATTTTGATAATGATTGGATCAAATCAAATGGCGGCTGGTATGAGGGTATTCAACTTTATACCTCGTCCACCAGCAATGCCTTAGAGGCAACCAATAAAGTGGTAAAAGACGATGGTACATTTAGAGAACGCCATGTTCTATCAAGATTTTTAGTAATAGCTTCAAATATAATTAATAATTGGTCAATTGAACGTGATCCATCTTCAACAAATGCAAAACTTTTTAGTGTAGAACCAACAATATGTTTGAATTTATAGACTTCATCTTATCAATGAGCAAAATTAACAAAAGATGATATCTGTCTTCAAAATGATGCTTCAAAAAGAAATTACATGCCAGCTCGTAATTTAGAATCTATTTCACAAGCTGATTTAAAAATATATATCAGCAGGAAATGGACAATTTTCAACCACTTCAAAAACTCTATTACTATTTGGCGCTTGGAATTAAAAATGATTCAGATTGCAAAACATCAAGATGCACCCGTCCAGCTTTTCTTAAAAGTTACATACGTAAGCATATCGTTGGAATGGTGATTCGAGTAAAACTTTGTAAACCACCACCACCGACAGCAAAGAACGTGCCGATTGATGAAAAAAGAAAGAGAAGTCGACCAGCAAAAGCAAAACTTACTTTGCGTTAGGTTCGAGATTTCTGGTTGATGTTTATTTTATCAAAACAAATAAGAACCTACCCATGTAGCCGGTCGTTGCATTATCATGTAATTGTAGCCATTATTTGCCATTATAATGCATTATAATTAAAAGAATTCCATTATAATGCATTATAATGGCAAATAATGGCTACAATTACATGATAATGCAACGACTGGCTTCATGGGTAAGCTTCTTCACAAAAATAAGAACAAGAAAACGAAAAATGAGAAAACAATAATATTAATTCACCTACAAGTACACTGGCACGACTCTTTACGTATTACCGTGCATACACACTGATATCTATCGATATTTTATATCAATCTGAATAAGAGGATGGATGATCGTCCATCTATAATAGATGACAATCCTAACACACATTGCTACTACAATAATTTATTTACGACTTTTCTCATTTCAATTTTTTTTATCTTATTCTATATTATATTTTCTTGATAATTTTTCTCTTTTCTACTGGTAAAATCTGGCTTATTTATTAATCAAAATTTCGTTTTTTACTTATCAAATTTCAGTCTTTCACTGGTACAAATGATATTTTTTATTGCTCCCATGTCACACAAACCGATCGTAAACCATCGGTTAACCGCGGTTTTGCAAGCTATTTTAGTGACTTTACAGTGTAAAAACCGACGGTTAACCGTGGTTAAGCGCCCGGGTTAACCAGATAAACAGTCGGTTCGCCCTCAATTAACCGGTTAACCGTCGGTTTTTACACTGTAAAGTCACTAAAATGGCTTGCATAACCGCGGTTAACCGATGGTTTTCGATCGGTTTGAGCGACATGGGTTATTCGTTATAAACTGATCACTTTCTGATTATTTACTGGTAATCTAAATACTAATAATTTAATCTTTAAACTGATTATTCATCCTTTAAGCTGATCGTTTATATACTATTTTACTGATCATTTCATCTATTTTACAAATCAAATATTTTGTTGCCATTCGAAATTCCTTAGTAAAGAAATAAAATCTATAACGAGTTCCTAATTAATATTCTTATTAGAAAACAACATTGACTTACTAAGTTTGATGATTATAAATTTAGGATTCTAGTTGCATCTTGCAAGCATCGAAATAAAATATTTCGCGTAAGAACAACAAGAAATGACACAATGTCTACGATTTGGCTTAAATAAAAAACAGAATGTAACGAATTTTATTTAAGATAGATGTTGTAGAGATGTAAAAGATATTATTCGTTACTGCTGCAGCGTTTATTATATTTGTAATCACAAAGAGAAACTGGAAGAGTAGCGTTACCGCTATTCTTAGTGTACATAAAATGTTAGTTACACTACTCCATTATGTTCTGTTCCAGTTCCGTTTACATTCCAGTTCTGTTCCAGTTCTAATGTATAATACAATATACTCGCTTTATATACGTGCACACGAGAGAGAGAGAGAGAAGAATAGAAAAATATATAATAGACATATGCGCATTACGTAGATTATGTCTAAAGACGTAATCACGTTACATAAAAGTAGATGGATAACATTAAGAAGTATAACAGATAGACTGATGAGAGTAACGATTTATGCAAGGCTTATGGCACATTGCATAACATTCATCATAATGTACTCCTCCTTCCTAATACCGGATCAGAGGATATTCCAAAGAAATGGAAACGCAAATATGTGAACAATAAAGGATGTCCATGCATTATTGGCACACAGAATAATCGAAAAAATTATAATTCGTATTCTTTCTGTGTATGGTTGAATAATGCTATCGGATGAAAGAAACTATTACATTTATTGAAGTGTACTATTTAATAAATATGCAAATCATGATGATGATAATCCTGAAAGTAAAGATAGAGGTGTGGGTGTGGGTGTAGGTGTACATCAAACCTTATTACCAACACCCACACCCCACACCCCACACTCAACAATATATATTCAGTAGATTTATTCCGTCGTGCAATGATTGCGTATATAATAAAATGTCTTTTTAATCAGGAACTTTTTTTATTTCTGTTTATTAAATGGAAAACTGTGGAGTGAAAGTCATCAATGCAAATCCACGGATACAGGTATCAGAATGTTTGGCCGTCAACTTGTCTTTTTATTCTAAATCTTTGACAGCTATCCACGATGGGCGTGAAGTAATTCTATTCCACCACGCTTTCACGTTAGGTCGCGATTCAAAGAAGCTGCCTTCACCACATGCTACAAGAAGCGTCCCGTATGGTAAATGAAATAGATCAGCCAAAGTAAATACCTAATTTTTGCAAGAAAATATAATCGAAAGAGAAACAAGAATAAAGATTTATTTACTTGTCCACCAAGGTACGACTGTTTGGACAATATCGTATCGTACACATCCATTTTGGCGTTCAATTGTTCTTTTAGTGAAGCTACTTTGGCCTCATCAGGTTCTCCTAAGCCCTTTCGCCTATTGAACGCACAAAACGCGAAGTGTGTAACAAATTGCAAATAAAATTAATCCTAACATTACTTTTTAAAGACCTTCTCGAATACTATGCCACTGGCATATGGATCAAAGTTGGCTGATTCAATAGATGCAGCTTGTTCGAACAGCCCTAATGCATTGATATTCGTTGGGACCAGTTCAGTGCCCTTGTCCTTGTATTTTAATTCCAGATAGCGGCAAATGGCTCGCGATTCTACGATAAGATGTTGTTAGCTGAGCCCCTTTGGGACTAAATGTGGAACTCACATATCACTTTTAGCCTAATTTTCCTAATGCACAATACATTAACTTCAGTGTCTATCTCAAATTTTAGTTTTTTCCCAAGATAATTGATCGGCAGAATAATATATCTTATTTTTTTCCTTGGCTGCTAATGTCTATAATAGAGAGAAATGGGACGTCGATAAACTTCGACCTCAAATTTACAATCACTATTTTCTTCGAAAATATACGTGAGTTCCAAAAATAGATATGTAATAGTTTCATAGCCTACAAATCACTCACCATAGATTTGAAAGCCATCGTCGACAAGCACCGGAATAACACCAAATGGTTGTTTCTCTTCCAGATATTTCGGATCCTGTGAATAGATATTGCTATACCATTTTTTATTTTTCTCTACCGGTTACCTTTTGTTCACCCTTACTTAAATCAATCGGTTGAAATTCGAACTTCAGACCTTTTTCGTGCAGTGTTGTCAAAACACGTTTGGTACATGTCGATCTATACGAACCATAAACAGTAATCGTCATGTTGTTCGAGGTGTTTCAGCTGAACACTTAGCTTGTAAAATATCTGAAATAAAATGACTAGATTCTTCGAAGTCCGCACAATATTTATACATCACCTCCTCAAGGTAAACATTGCCATGTAAACAAGAGGAAACCTCGTCCCGAACGCAGTGAAACCAGAGAAGAAGAAAAAAAAATACTTTTCAATATGTGGCAAGAGAGAGTAAAAAAGAAGTAATTAGGAAGAAAAAAAAACGGAGAACTGGAAAGTAAAAAAAGGAGTTGTATGTCTAACGACTACCGATTTATCATAAAAAAAACAACATCACTATGCGCTCCCGGGCAATAATATCATGTTTTTCTCTTTGAAAACTAAAGCAAAAATACACATTACCGACTAAAATACCCAGCGCTAGAATAGTAGCAATTTGATGCTGAAACCCTCACCATTTTTAGAACTGATTTTGGACAGTCAATCAACAAAAATACCCTTAAAAATGGTACAGAAAGAAACGTTGAGCAATAGAAAACATGAATGTATTTTTAGCAGAAACAGAGTACTTTGTTTCTAGTAGGTTTCTGATCCTCGAAAACAGCATTAAGACTGGGGGTGACACTTTAACTTTTCTTTGATGTTAAAGTTAAAGTGAATTTTCTTTTTTATGCTTATAACTGTCTGGACTAGTTGATAAATGCTCGCTAGAATCTTCACAATCTATTAGGTGCCAAAAAACTGATAAAACAAAGTAGTTTAAAGCGACTTTAAATAAATTTAAACTTTAAGACTAAAGTATAAAGTTGTTTAGAGCTGTTTTCAATTGCTTTATTTTCCATTTCTTTTGTCGTCATACGGGTTGTAGAAGGTCTAGTGAGCATCAATCAGTCAGTCTAGGGTGGCACTTTAACTTTACTTCAAAAGTTAAAGTTAAAGTAAAATACTTTAACACTGTAACTTTAAAAAGCCAGAGTTAAATTGACAAATAATTTTTAGCACTTCGTGATCAATTTTCTATTGGTTTAACTGCAAGTCCAAACTTTAAAGTTAAAGTTAAAGTTAAAGTACTTTAATTTTGATATTAAAATATTAAATTTTAGTGTTCTACTTTAATTAAAGTTTAAAGTTTAAAGTGTTAAACTGTTTTCACTTTACACTTTAATACTTTTTTTAAAGTGTTTTAAAGTTAAAGTGGCACTCCTAATTAAGACCTTGGAAACAATTTTCGGAAAGTAGGTAGAGTAAGATATGAGTTTGGTTGATATTATCGGGCGTTTGAGATATTGGTAAGTCTACGTCATGATAAGCTCACATACCAGTTGCAGTATGTGAACCCAAATCAACGCTTCCAAGGAGTTTCGCAGTGATCTTCAATAATGTCAGCGATGCAATGTGAAACTCGATCGTTGCCATTCCGTTAGTGAAAATACGTCAATAAAAAGGAAAATGTATATCAAGAAAATAATTATTTCAACTATACCGAAACTTTTGATCTCATACAGAGTTGATGAAAACCACATCATTGGAAAGATCATGGAAAACTAACAATGGAACGTCGTGTAGTGTAAGTTAAGAGAGAGTACGTGAAGGCATTAAGTATCAGCGGCACCATGAAAATATTAGATTTCGGAATTTTTATATGCATCTGAAAAGCCATGGTTTGAAACCGCGAAATCCAAATTTTTAGCGTTTTCAGTTGTATTATAGAAAAGTTAGGCACAGACGACTTTCGAGCACCAGCAAATTTTTCTCAAAAGTTAGAAAAGAATAGTAATTACGTCAAATATTTCTCCGAATTACGGATCAGCTAGCTATCGAAATTTATTTTTAAATATACCACAAGATAGAGCATTAAAAACTGAACAACATGTGGTATTTCAATCCATTTCTATTAGTTCTGTAGAAAAATTCACTACGTCAATATTATCGTAAGATGTCACCATTTTCCAGTTCATGATTCTTTTTTTTTCAGTAGTGGCGGTGGAATTTTTGTCAAACAGTGCGGGGCCACGATGAATTTCGAATATGTTGTATAGTTTTTAATTCTCTACAACCTGATAGATAAATATCCAAAAAAGAAGTGCGCCTTTCGGTAGAAGCAGTGCTCAACATTTCTATTTTTCGGCGATTTTATCCCATTTTCATATGAAAAACACGTCCATTTTTTTGATTTTCATTGACAAGATACGAGTTTCAAGCTATATAGTTGTGATATTTGAAATCAGAGCATCGAGCTACATTGGAGAAACTAGTTTCCAGAAGAAATAATTTTTCAGCGAAATTCCTCTGAGGGGGAGTACAGGGAAATTGTTTTATACAGCACTGGTGCAGTCCCCCTCAGGGGAATTTCACTGAAAAATTATTTGTTCTCCCAGGTCGATCAACCTGAGCCATAAACGGCCGTATACCTATCATTCACGGTGAAAAACGGCGACCGTATTTTGTAGTCGTTTACTGTTGCCGTAAACGAAGTTATACGATGAAATACCATCGTCGTAAACGGCCATCGTAACTAAACGCAAACCGTAAACNATCCAGGAAACGATTGCCGTTTTTCTATCGTATACTTTTGTAAACGGTCGTTTACGATGACTAGCTGTTCGCTTAAAGTATAGTAGCATTTTTTAGATTGTAGTTTACTCAAGCTATCTCGGTGAGAAGTATTAAGTGACCATCTGGTAGGTGAAGTTGGTATCGCATTCGAGTAAACCTTTCGATGCTCTTTAGAGCTAATTTCCCAACGTACATACTCATATTACTAGTAGAACCTCGTATATCCTATCGAATAGTATATTTCGATTAACTAGACTTGAACCATTATCCTGAAATTTCGAAAAATCCAAAAAAACCTGAAATGCTTTTTTTTTTGTAAAATCCGGCCATAGTCACTTCGACCAATGTTCCAATTCTCGTACCTATGCTCCAAGTGGAACTCGACGAACACTATCC